GGGTGGCCAAAGTGCGCTCGCGAGCCTGATATGGCTCTCGCAGGCAATTTGTGCGGCTCGTACATATAAAATATATCTATGAAATATGGTAAACTAAAACTGTTCAGTGTCTAAAAAGAAATAATTAATTAGTTTAGATTCTTTTTACATAGTTATCAAGAATTTCTTTCTATTTAAAACCTCCTCCACTACTTCTATAATGATGTAAATATGAACTTGTGGCTTTTAGAAAATCTAGATGCGGCTCTCGAACATACCTGAATTCAAACGTACATACTGACATGAAGTTTGGCCAACCCTGGTATATGACTAGGAAGCGTATGTTGAATAAAAATAACTTGAGAACCTTACTTAAGGAATAGAACATTTTATTTTGGACTAAATGAAGATGTGTAGTGAAAGTAAAATGGCTAAAAGGTGCTGGCCTTTGCTTATTCGTTATGCATTATCCCTCCTGCCACCGAGCTGTAAAATCGCTGAACACTGGTAGTTAAAACTTGGGTTCAAATCCAGGCGTAAAGGCTGGTTACAAGGGCAATTTCGTGATTTTTCCCATGTATAACATGTATATGAGCCAGTTTTCCTGAGAAAGTCCTCCGCGAAGGCATCCCTCAGACAGATAGCCTTAGTGTGCTTTGCTAGAATAAACTAAATCAATTCAAATCAAATCGTTATACGTTAAGTAAGTTGCTTGTTGTAGTAGTTGTCTAAGTTAAGTAAGTTGCTTGTCTTTAAGTAGTTGCCTCTATAACAGTAAGCTAATCTGCCTTCTATCCATTGACCATCTCTAAAAAATCCCACGCTTATTAAAGTTTGATTTATCAACGGACAATGAAGCTAACTGCAAGTTTGTAAAACATAAAGTTAAAAACTTATTGAAACATGAACAATTCGTGAATTTATACATTGATGAAGTTCGAGTGAAAAAGATGACATAGAAAGGGGTTGGAAATTGGCTATTCTGAGAATCCTGAAAGTATTAAAGCAACATCTGTTCAGTCTTTTATGATTTCTTCTATAATATCAGATTATAAAGATGTCATTGCATTAGTAATAATTCGCTTGATTACTACAGTCGATTAATCAACGAGCCAGTTTTTTAATATTCGCATACTGTTTATCATTCAAATCTATTATCATAGCAAGAAAGGCTTATTTTGAGCTTGAAGAAAACTTTATTTGCTAGCTAACTTTTATTTAAATATGGCTAATAGATGGGCTGTCAGAAAATGTTTTCCTAGATAGTCGTTAAATTAAATGATTAAAAAAATAAAGTGCCTATAAAAAGAAAAGAAGTAAGAGAATTTTTCCTTTAAAAAAAACCGATTGTGTTCATTAGTGTAGTCAAAAGGAGAGGAAGCTGTTGTCATTTACATACTTCTACCATTGTCGGAGGGGACTTCAACGCCAAACACCCCTGTTGGAACCGAGGACCTGCTAACAAAAAAGGAAATGACATATTTAAACTCATTCAATCAAATAATTATACATTCATGCTCCAGACGAGCCCACCCATTACGGGTACAATAGCGCCACCACAATTGACTTCTTCATCTCAAATAACATTACTAACAGATGCAATATCTCTGTAATTTCAGCCCTGTCTTCCGACACACACCCCATTGTATTTGAAATCCCCATTAATAAATACCTCCCCTCACTTGACAGAAGTATAGGAGTTACAAATTGGATCAAATACTCTGAAATTCTGAATAACTCCATACAAGGTAACCCATGCATCAACAACACAGAAGATTTAGAACACGAAGTTTCAAAATTTACCAACAGCATCAATTCTGCTTTAAAGGAATCCACCAATACTTTTTATGTGAACAAGCCTTTTCTTCCCCTGCCTGCCGATATAAGAAATAGGATTAAAGAGAAAAATCAGATCCGTAAAAGATGGCAAACCACCAGGGATCCACAACTCAAACACGAACTAAACTCTATGCAAAAATAAATCAACAGAAGAATCAAGAACTTCAAAAACCAAAAATGGACCAATTTCCTAAATAACCTAGCTTTAGAGGACAATTCCCTATTTGAATTTCCCGCAAATTCAAGAAACCTTATAAACCTATTCCACCTATCCATGGACCTAGTGGAACTTCATATACAGAAGAAGATAAAGCTAAATCTTTTGCGGACTATATGGAAGATACATTCACCCTTAATTCCACTCCGTACGACAATAACCATATTGAACGGGTCAACCAGGTGGTCAATAACTTCCTAAATACCCCTGCTCCGTACAACTTCACTTTCCTGACTACCCCAATAATCGTTGCCAACACCATCAGCGCCTTACAAACTAAGAAAGCCCCAGGGCACGATGGCATTTCGACCAAAGCACTGAAGCATCTTCCGATCAACGCTCTTACCTGCCTAACTAAGATAATCAACAACATTATCAAATTCGCTCATTTTCCTAACTCATGGAAGCAAGCTATAATAATTGTTTTTGCTAAATCGCAACAAAATCCAACTCTCCCACAGAACTATCTCCCTATCAGTTTACTTAGCCACCTGTCTAAAGTTACTGAGAAAATCTTACTTTTCCACATCCAAAAAAATTCACCCTTCCATGAATTTTCTCCCAGAAGAACAATTCGGTTTTCGTAATCATCATAGCACTTGCCACCAACTTCTTAGAGTTATCAACATTATCACTGAAGGCTACAACTGCAAGCTTTCGACCGATGCTATATTTCTCGATATCGCGAAAGCTTTTGACAGGGTATGGCATCGAGGCCTTATTTACAAACTAATCACTCTCAATTTTCCAGATCATTTTATTCGCTTAATAGCCTCTTTTCTCAGCAACAGAACATTCAGAATCAAAATCGGTACTGCTTACTCTACCACCAGAGTAATCAATGCTGGTGTCCCACAGGGGTCGGCACTTTCGCCGTACCTTTTTAATATTTATACACAAGACATCCCTAAAGACCCTTCTATTCATCTTGCATTCCTTGCCGATGACACCGCCATACTTACTAAAGCCTGCACAGTTATCGCCGTAAGAAACCAACTCCAAAGCTATCTCATAAAACTGGAAAAATGGCTTACCCTTTGGAGGATAAAACTAACACTGATAAAACTAAGGCAATAATTTTCCGTAAAGGAAACATGAAATACTATCCTCCACCCCCTGAAATATTTGACGAAGAAATAGACTGGATTAATGAAACCAAATACCTTGGAGTCACCCTTGACCAAACACTTACCTTCAGAACCCACTTCCGGTCCGTAGTACAAAAATTTAAAATCACCACAGTTACTATGCGACCTCTTCTTGGTAGAAAAAGCAACTTATCTACTACAAACAAATTAATTCTATATCGCTCCATACTGCGCCCAGCTCTTCTTTATGCAGCACCGATTTGGGGACATGCAGCTAAAACCAATATTAAACAATTACAAATTCTACAAAATAAAACTCTACGAGAAATTATCAATGCTCCTTGGTATATTCCCAACATCTATATTCACAGAGACCTTCGAATCGAACTTATTCAAGAGTATATTAAACGATTAGCGGTCAACTTCTTTTATTCAGTACAAGCCCACAGTAATAGCCTTATTAGCACTCTCAGACACTCCCCGCGTCCCAGAGAAAATATCGTTTCCCTTGTGACATCCTTCCCACATAAGAATCCCAACCTTAATTGACTCATTCACGCAAAACTGACTCTGCGGTTTTACCACCCGCGGCTACCTCTTATAACAACACTGAACTCGACACCCCCCTTTTTTTCGCCGCCGCTAGTGCGGACCTCACACTCTTTCATCCGCCTCCCACACTCCTTTCACCCTTCTCTTTCTCCCCCCACCCGATCTTTATCAGAAGTCGAGTATAAAGATGTTTCTACATCTTGACACTCGAGAATAAAATACGATCTGTGTGTTGTGTGTGTCATTTACATTAAATAGTGTCTTCCAGGTGTGAGTAGTGGGTATGTTTGGTAAAGCTGATTAGATGTGAAGATGGGGGGAAAATTAAATATAAGATATAAATTTTGGGGATCCAGTAACATAACAGCTTAAGCCTAGTTTAGAAGCTAACTTTTGCTATGACGGGAAACTAAAATTTAAAAAAAAGAAAATTAATTATTTTTTTTAACATGGGAAACAAGACTATATGTTGGTCTCTACCTTGAGACACAGCAACAAAAGACACATAATATCAGGCAAAATTATATGTTAACTAAAGTAACATCATCTGTTGCGGCTTCCAACATATTCATACATTTTTCAGAAAACAGCATCAGACAAAATCATAAATCCATACAGTGCGAGGGCACGTCAGAAAAATAAAAAAGAAAATAAATTACAGAGTTTATTTTAATATTAATTAATTTAATTAAACATTTTATTTATTTACTAATTTAACAGACCAAGATCGCCTTTTTTCGCTCTCGAGAGGGGCCTCGATGGGTAGTGCTAATAGGCGACGCTACTGATAAGGACTACTGATAAGGACTACTGATAAGGATAGCGTTCTTACGGAATAGTTACCAAAAAAAGAAACACGTGATTTAAAGCAATTACTAATCATTTAATGCCAGAACATAATAAAATGAGCATAATAATAATGAACATAAGAAGTAAATGAATTTAAAGGTACTTTAGTGACAGATATTTGATTTAGTTTAGAGAAAAGAAGTTCTACTTATCTGAGTGTTCCGTCTTTGTGTTCAACAACCAGGAAGATAGGACAAGTAAAAAAAATAAGATTTAGTTCCTCACTTTTATTCAGCTCATCAATTAGCTAAGGGGTTTCATGCGTGAACTTTTGCAAATGTTAAGTGCTTTCACAGTAATTTTCATTCACAGTAATGAGCAAGTTTGTCAGTCTGGTCTAACTAATTTTTATGTTTTGATTTCATTTTCGATTTTCAAATCTTTAATAACTTTATCACATTCATTTATTTCACTTTCTTCATATTTCAATCATTACAAAAATGTTTACATCAGAATCTTTACCTAATCGTAACCGCTATGAGTCAGCAAATTATTTTTCGTTTTTGTCTAGTTTGTGTTTCTCAACCCGGTGTTTTCAGTTTTATTTAGTAATACTGTGTTGACATTTCTAGTGAAAAATGGAAGATGATTTTGAATATTATATTACTTTTCCTGTGATTTCAAATCATGTGATGAACAAAGAGCCTGTGATAATATTGTTTGGATGGGCTGGCTGTGTTGATAGGTATTTAGCAAAATACAGCGAAATTTATCAGAAGAAAGGGTAAATGGTTTTCATTATCAGTATACTTTATATGAAATCATAGAAATATTAATAAATTTATTCGTCTAATATCTTTATTTATTGCTGAATGTTTTAATTCATTGCAGATTCTGTCATGCGTGACGTTTGTGTAATGTTAAAGTAAAATTCTATTTGATAAATTAATTGTGGCATAGTTTGTTTGATCAGTGGCATAGTTTGTTTGTTTGATCAATTCATACATAAATTCGCATTTCTTTTATTGTTTACTACCGTATTTTATTCGGTTATATTATTTATTTTTATAAATTGTAATAATAATTATGTTGACGGCTATCTTTTAATGACTAGAATTTCTGTAAGTTGTCGCTTGTGTATTTTTAAATTGATTAAATTTTTGAGAAATGATTATCTATATTTGGAATTTAGAGTAATTTTAAAGCTATGAAAAAATGTCATTGACCTTAAAGGGCCAACAAATGTAAAATAAAAATTCAGTGAAGTTGATAGGGTTAGAAATAAGTATAATGCGCATTTATAATTTTCCCCCTCCATTTTATTCAGTGACGTTGACGAACCATTTTTCGTAATAGCAAGTAATTACATTTCTCTTCCTGTAATTTCGAATCATATGACAAACAAGGAAATTATTAAATTATTTGAACAGGCTGTATTTTGAACTGTGAGCTGAACAAGGAACTAAGGATATTTTCGTCGCAAAATATTAAATGTTGATGTAATTGTATATCATTTAAGCTGTTTATTCTTACTTGGCTAAAATTGCAAAACTTTTTGTGATGTTTTAAAATGTAAATAAAATTTTCTATAAAATAAAAATAAAATATTTCTGATGTGGGAAAGTGCAGAATCACCCACTGCTTCATATGTTTCTCAAAATCGACCAACTTGAAGATAACAAGTTAAAGAATGCACAAACTCGGTATCCATTTACACATCAACCTATTTTCACTTAAAAAAACATTAGAGAATTGCAGAAACTTGGCATTGTGCACTTCCTTGAGTTGTTCATGTACACACTGATATGCGCCATATAAGTGGACAATTCTGCACTTGAGCCAAATTACATGCATAAGAAGTTTGAAATAACATTGCTGAAGCTAAATTATGCACATTGAGTTTAAAATGATATGTTGAGTAAATTTTATGTGAAATATCTATGTCCTTAAATATTAAGGCCTAAAATGCTATGCAAATTAATGAGAACTCATTAGGTGTCAGTGAGAAGTAAAATGTTCACAAAAGTGAGTTTTCAGTGGCATTGTTTATATTTTTACATCCTGAAAATGGGTAAAAAAGGGTAAAAGTGTATGCATATGAGGAAGTTTACTAGCAGAAAGGATTGTTAATTTTGTTTTGTTGCAGATTGCCTGAAATGGATGTACCTGGTTATTAAAAAAGATTCATCAGATTTCAGAACTCTGCATTTGTAAAGTATTGCAAAAAAAAAAAAAAAAAAAAAAAATGCTGCACAAAATGAAATAAAATCTTTTTTTCAACTTTTAATGATTTTTATAAAGAGATTTTGTATTATTGTTTGCCAGCAGAACAGTACCTGTGAGCATAAAGGTAGCCAAAAGAATATTTTTGGCTAGTTCACAAAATTGGCAATAAACTAGCAACTTTTTTTGGGGGAGAGGAAAATGAGGAGGTGCTTGTAAAGTACCAGGCTTAGGATAGTAGAATACGTATTATGACTGCAATATGGTTTATTTTCAGCCCTTTTTTTAATGATGTCTGTAAAATACATCAATAGAGAACTTGATATGTCACCAGAAATGAAAGTTGTGGTGTAATTATCTATGTGAAAGTGTTTGCATTCTACTGAAGTAAAGTGTGATTCTTAGGATAGGTAAGGAAAATAAAATTGTAGAATTCAACAATAGATTATTTACTGAGAAAGCGCCCTGTTAAAAAAAATGGTAACAGAACAATGGTTTGTCTGTGATATTTGTTGCAAAACAAATGTGTGGTCTTTTTAAGATAGTAAAAATTTTATCGCATGTGACTAAAGGAAACATGGAAGACAGTTCTCGATAGATATTTAGAGATTATTAGAGAGATAACTCGATATTTAGAGATTATTAGAGAGGTTATTCAGTCCAACAGTTAAGCTGAATACACTCATCAGACAGTAAATCACAAATATAATAGTCCTTCAGAGACAAAGCCTCTTTGGGCTAATAATTTGTTGATTCTACTCCAAAACACATGGAATGATTGTGATGATACACAAGAGTACAGCTCCTGACTCCTCGGTTCAGTCGTTCCTGGAGTTCAACACACTCTCTCGATAATGCACTAACCATAATACAGTAAGAGACTCTTTCGATCTCGACGACCAACTCTGCACTCACTGACTATCAACTCAATGGACTCTCACTACCTTCGCTCTAACTTACTCTCCGCATACTACCAGCAGGGTTTATATAGCTTTTGGCTTGTGTTCTAGAATATTCTGGGCTAAACCGGTAAGAATTCATTCCAGAAGGTTCTCCATCTGTGCATGGCATATCAGTAATTTTGTCACCAAATGGGCGATTTTTTGCCAAATGTGGCAACTCTGCCTTCCCTTTTCATTTTATAGCAACTCTAAACCTTACCGCGCCTGGAAATTTCGTAACGATATATATAAGGTAACCTAAATGAAATGTAAAGATTTTGATTATGAATAACTTTAAAGACTAGACTTCAGTGTTTTGCATGGCAAACATGTAATAATGTTCTTTTGACAAAATAAAGTTTCAGAAAGAGAGGAATTTCCAACCCTCTGTCGAATGCAGTGCAAAAGTTCAGGCACAATGGATCTATTAGATTTATTTATAATATTTAATTACAGCCAAAAGTCTTTAATCCGGACATCCATAATCCGGAATGATCTATAATCCGGACCTCAAAGCTACAAACTTTCTGCTCATGCGTAAACGCATTTATGTTTACGCATGCGCATTTAATGTTTAATGGACGGTATAAGCTAAGCTAAAATTATCTATTTATCTATTTCAGTTAATGTTGTAGATTATGTTTTTCCTTAATCTTCTAATTGGATCCGGCTTATTATTTTTTACAGACTGTTAGAGCAATTTTATAAAAGTAAGCTTGAACTTTCGATTATGTCAAAAAGAATTTCCGGTTCTGGAACTGCCAAAGGATCTACAAAGCGAAAGCATGTTTTGATGTTCATCAAACAAAAAGTGGAATTGCTGCAAAAAATGGATAAAGGCATATCCTTTGTTTCTCTAAACATTCCGAAATCTGTTTATCAATTTAACGCTGCTCTGTGGGGGGGGGGGGAGTTGCGGCATGCAGTGAGCTGGAAGGTGATCTGTCAGCACTATCCTTATCTTCAGGGCAGATGCTTTTATTTTATTCGGCTTATAATTCCTTACTAAATGTAGTATTTCATCTCGATGTACTCCGTCTTTGATATGATTTAAATCAAATTCTTCGTCATTATAAATATCATGAATACACATCAAATAGTTTTCTGGTTGCAATTTTCTAATTTCGACTATGCGTAATGTATGCTTTATGCATACGCGTTGAAAGAAATATTTAATAAAGTAAACAAATAAATATTAAGCTTTTTTTTTTTTGTAAATTTTGATACCCTTTAGATCATAATTGCTCTTTATTTCATAAATTACGGTTTAATATTTTTAATTTTATAATTTCTGCATGCCATTTTGCCAGATTTAAATTGATGGTCTATAATCCGGAAAAACCGATAATCCGTAATCGCCAAAGTCCCGACGAGTCCGGATTAAAGACTTTTGACTGTATTTAAATTGAAAATTAATTATTAATTGACTGTATTTAAATTGAAAATAATGTGTATGTAATGAATTTAATTTATTCAGGATAAAATTTTACTTGCAGTTCAATGTATTATTACAAAAATTAAATACAATCAAAAGTCATTAATACGGACACCCATAATCCGGAATGATCTATAATCCGGACCTCAAAGCTACAAACTTTCTACGGTTTCATATTTTTAATTTTATAATTTCTGCATGCAATCTTACCAGATTTTAAACTGATGATCTATAATCCGGAATGGCCGAAGTCCCGACGAGTCCGGATTAAAGACTTTGGACTGTATATAAATAAGAAAAAATAAAGTCATCAAACTAAAACAAAATTTGTCAATGAACAGGTGGAACAAATCTGTCAGCTTAAAAATAATAAAATACATAGTTAATTATGTAACTATGTATGCTGTTTATACAGCAGCTGAATATATATTCCTTTCCGCATGATTCTGAAAATAATTCAATACTATATGGTTAATAATGATAAAGAGCTAGACTGATAAAACTTTTGCTGATACATTTGGATTTTCATCTAACAAATACGATTTTGATTTTCTGTTCTTTTCTCCCTAAAATTCTCATTTCAGTAAAAATTCTCAATATAGTAATTTTTATTTCCATGATTGGATGATTTGATAAATTTATGTTTGATCATATTGGAAAAACTGCAATGACTTTTAAAATATTTTAATACTGATAATGTTTTGAAAATATCTATTTATTTTTTTTAGATGCACTACCATACGGTACATCACATCTACAAATGTCGTTTCACCTAGAATTATTGATGAAAAAAAGATTCAGAACCTTGCTGGAAATGTGATCAATTTGCTTATTGACATGAAGTTTGATAAACACCCGATTTTTTTTCACATTTTTAGTAATGGTGGAGCAACAGTATATCGGTATGTAAGTGAACTGATGAGAAAGAAACATCCAGAAGAATTTAAGGTATCCATACCTAAATTTTACTTATAATTTAATTTTAATCTGAATTTTAAAAAGTACTTATAAGAGTAATTTTAAACTGAGAAATATCATTGGAAGATTTGTATATTTTTTTAATGCGTACTGTAATTTCTGGAAGAAAGGCCGCATCAGCGTAAATGCTGCACTCGAGAAAAATGGTGGGAAAAAATTTAAATTACATGGAAACGCTGTAATACATTAAATTGCGCATAACATCGTCATGGGCCGTATAGATGCAAAATCTCAACCTATGTCCTGATATATGACATATCGGTTAAGAAAAATGCATGAAATGAAACCATAACTCAAAAATAAATTAAAGGTAAGAAATGTTGAAAATATATTTACGTTCACGAATATACGTATATTTACCCACTAAATAAGTCCATATTTGTAATACTCTGACTATATTATAAAAAATGTTGCAACAACAAAATATTAAATTTGGATAACAAAAGGAAATTTTAAATTTTATTTACAAAAGGAATTACGGCAAACTATACATCATATGAAGCCATCAAAATCTGATTCTTCACTGTCTGAATTAAAAAGATTTAGTAAATTCTGATCTAAGTCCAAGTCTTCCAGATCATCACATTCATCCTCTTGGTTTAGAGTCTCTTTATCTAAGGATATAGTTTCAGCTTCTTTGAACCCTGCTATTATTGACGATGTTTTTACCGATTTCCATGCACTTCCTACCCACTTTGCAACTTCTTCATAAGATGCTCTATGCATTTTACCTCTTTTGGTATACGTATGCAATCCTTCACTCATCCAACATTCCCACCATTTTCGGACTTCAGCTTTGAAGGATTTATTACCTGACAAATCTAATGGTTCTAAGATTTTTGTCAAACCACCAGGAATTACTGCTACGGTCATAGACAATTTTTGACATCTGGTTTTCACTGACTCAAGTAAATGAGCACACATGGAATCCATTATCAATAACCCTTTTGGTTGGAAAAAAGATCTCTTACGACACTGCCAAACTTTTTGTAGCCCCTCATGCATGATTATTTCGCTCATCCAGCCATTCTTGTTTGCACAAATAATTACATCATTTGGAAAATCTCCCTTCAGAATAGTTTTTCCATTTAAAAATGATCATCGGCTTTAGCTTGTCACCGTTTGTGGCACAACGTAACACACATGTAAATGACGTTCTTTCATGCCCCGTCGTAAGCACAGATACAGTTTTTGCACCAGTTTCATCAACAGTTCTGTTTGCAGGAGAGTCGAAAGCTAACGGTGTTTCATCCATATTTATTATCTGTGACCGAAGAAGTTTTTTTTGGTCAATAATATCTGTCACATATTTTAGAAAAGATGCCTTTTTATCCTGCCAGTCCATTGGTAATTGTTGCCCGACTGTTGTTCTAGTATGCACAGAAATATTTTTTCTTTTCATAAATCTACTACACCAGCAAGGCCCTCCTTTGAAATCATTTATGTTCATTTGTTTTGCTATACATTTTTCTTGTAAGTGAATTTTTACAGTCGAAATTGCCATTCCCTTTCCTTGTTGCTCCTTTATCCAGTTTTCAAGGTCGTCCTCTAGATTCGGCCACCTTACAGTACCACTTCTTTTGGCTCGTTTCTGTTGTGACATATTTTTAAGTTCTTCTTTTTCAGTTCTCCAACTTCGAATACATCTCTCGTCCACTTCAAACTCTCTAGCTGCTGATCTATTTCCAATTTGTTCAGCACGTGAAATTACATTAAGCTTAAAACCAGCAGTATAGCTTCTGTGCCATTTAGGTGCCATTTAAAAAAAAATTTCTACTCCCTTCTTACTTAAAAACTATCCAACAAGTACTTGTATCCAAACTGATGGGATCTGTATCTGGCAGAATACCATGAAAAATCGATTCATGCTGAAGGGGAAATACCGTCAGAATTCCTTATTGTAACGCAGGTGGTGTCCGCCTTTGAAAAAATTGCAGTAGATTTAAAGGCAGGGGTGGGGAGAGGATGGGTCCTGGAAGATTCATCGAATGGCAGAGAAGAGAGACTATTCAAAATGATGAGAATGCTGATTTGAAAGGGGGAAGAATGTTATTGTTCTGAGATCCCGTTTACAGTGAATAAGGCATGTAGGACCGTTCAAGGGAAAGGTTCGCAAAAAGCAACTGAGTGGTTTTTTATGTGGGAACAGCACCAGTCTATGTACAGTGACAAGGCCATCCAAATTATGTACAATGACAAAGTTATTCAAACTATGTACAATGACCATCATAGGAAATATTTTATTTTTGGTGCACCTAAATGCTGCATGGGTAGAAACACCGCACCCGCTGAAAATTAATTTTTAAATACGTTAACGTCGCGGCGTCTCTTCCAGAAATTACTGTATTTCTTTTCCATAGTTATGAGATCTAAATTTTTCAGGCTATTGAATACATTAACTATCACTATAACTTTATTACTTATAAACCTAGTGAAAATTTTTAGGAAATGATTGTTTGAAAAAGGACAAAATATGTCCAAATATACACAAAATTAAAAAAAAAAAAAAAATCTGAAGGTTTCAGATTTTAAATTACGTCCAAAGAGGCGTCTTTTTTTTAAACATTTTGTGTGTTGCCTTTATTTATTTATTCTCATGCTCCTTGCACTTAAACCATAAAATTCAGTTCAACAGCAATGTCGCAAAATAATTTTAAAATGAGCATATCTTTAGAATTTCCCATACAGAGTTCCGCGCGCTGGAGATAATATAAAACAAATTCCAAATTTGGTCTTCCAGATGCCCATATTCACAGTAGGATTAAGTCATTCAAAATTTGATGGCTTTAGGTACCGTTGTTTTATCACAATGCAAGAAATATACATACATTTATGCAGATTTTTCATTATTTAATTTCTTCAAATATAATACAGGGCGATAGCATTTGGTGGCAACAGTTTGAAAAAGTGAAACCGACATTCAGAGTGATTCAATGCAAAATGGAAACAATAGTCCTTCAGAGACAAAGCCCCTTTGGACTAATTATTATTATTTATTTCATCATATCTAGAAAATATACTGGAGAACCTCAATTTGAAACTAGCATGATTGAAAGTTGGCACAAAATTTGAGAAAAAATGAGGAAATATGATGGAGGTATCGTGAGCATAGCGGTTTGAAATATTAATCATTGGATCCGTCATTCTTCTAGTAATCATTGTTCATATATTAAATTGTTTACTCTTTTTTTAATTAGACTTGTTTCTTTTATTCAGTTTGAGTTAGTCTGTTCCTTGAATATTTTATGTTTAATTATAATATTTAAGTGCAAATAAATCTAATTTAAATTAAGATAAATTAACAGTAGCTGCTGATTATAAAGTACATTGGTAAATAAAGTCTCCAGTCATATAAATGTATGATAAAAAAGGAAAATGGTATCAGACTGAAGGAATTTTCTTTTTCTTTTTTTAACATTGCTTTTTATTTTTTAACAGTGCTATTTATTTATTTTTATTCTCTTTACCAAATGAGCGATCTGTTTTTATGTTCAGTTGATGAAGAAAGTTTGTGATTTTGAACGATTTGTGACAATAACTTTCGGTATTATATGAAAAATGTTGACTTTCAACCTCTCTTTCATTTATGAGAAACAAAAATCAGATAATGCTAACTTTGAGATGTAAGGAAGATATGCCATCCACTTCTCAACCCTTTCACCATCCTCTCCTGTCCAGGAAAATTTCTCCCCAGCGACCCTCTGTTTTTCACCGCATGTAGTGTTGTTTTCTCTGCACAGATATCATGTTTCATCCGTTCGCAGTGGATGAATGTAAATGAATATTAAGTAAAATTTTAAGGAAATAAAACATGATTATTATTTTGAAAAATGTATTAAAATTGTACTAACAATTTTTTTGAATAGATAACTCAATTTATTTATACAATATGTTAAACTCTAAAACATAGGGTAATACATAGTCCTACGTCACATTCTTTACAATAGTATCGTGTTTTTTTCACACTTTTTCCCTAACAATGTTTTGCTACAACAAATGTAACATTCTCTTGGTTCTTTCTAATTTACAGTTGATGGAGTGCAATCTATAAAGTTCCTTTTGGTAAGACGTGATATATCACAGCTGCTAAAACAACACTCTTTTTGTATATTTGTTGTTGGCGTGTTATATTTATCAATGATTTTGTTTATAAGAGCAAGCCTGAAAGACAAGTGATCTAATTTGCCACTACTTTTCTTGTTCCAAACATATGCATTAAATATGCCATGTATAATAAATGTCCAGGTATTTTAGAATAATAGCTCTGCTTATTTCTCACAGCAGGATAATTTGATAGCATCTGATCCAAGCAGTCCACTTCTCCCATTTTGTTGTTGTAATCTTTTACAATTATTGGTTATTACAGTTCTTTTCCATGTTTCAATATCAATCATCGAGTTATTATGGACTGTACTCATCAAACATATATCCTTCCTGTCTTTACACTTCACAACCTCATTTTCTGCTGAGTAGACTTCGAAGCCATCTTCTGCTGTTTTGCATTATATGCAAAAGGGCATGAATATTCATAAAACCTGGGGCAAATTAAATTAGAAAAATGAATGCCTGATTAGTGCTGCCCTCTAGAAAGTATTAGAACAAACAAAAATAAAAACTCAAACAAGTAAACATTTAGAAAGCGTTTGAAATGTTTAAAAGATTTAAAATGTTGAAGAACAATTGAAGGACGTAGCAGCCACCCTGCAGAATGTTCACTTGAATGCGCTAGACGCGTTACGGATGACGAAGAGGTTAATTGTCATCATGTGTCACTGAAATGAGTCATCTTGATCTTTATTTATCAGACATACTTATTTCATTTTTATTGCAGCTTTTGGCCTGTGAAAGCATTGATGGAAATTTTAGCATCCAAACAATTACTATAAGTTGTTATGTCTTTATGAATTTTTATCGATATATAACTTTCTACAGATAAACCTCTGTTACTAATGACTGCTTCAATATATTTT